ACGGCAAAGTTTTGATAGCAGATTTGAGCGTTATGGACCACAAGCCTTATTTCGTGTGATGGGAATGTAAATGGTTTATTGATTATCTATAAGCTTACCGCTCTAAATAGGTATCTGTAGTATGAAGACCGTCAATTTCCTGAAGCCATTCTGAGTAAAAAGTTGGGAAATTTCATTTTCCATCGTAGAAATTATTAAAGCCAGTTTAATTTGATGCTATTTTGAGCCCTTGGCTATTAAAATTTTTGTCGTCTAAATTCTTCTCTGCTCATTCCTTCATAACTTCGACCAAACTGCGAAAAAATTTCTGCATGAATTAAAATGTAATACATAATTAGTCGACGAAAAAATGTAGTCGAAGAATCCTTTTTTAATTAAATCTTTTTTGCTTTTAACAAATATTACGTAGACACTGAATACTCTAATTATTGTTAAAATAACGAATTAGAAAACAAAAAAGATAGGAAGCTCTTTTTCTATCTCTCTTTCGTTCTTGATTTGATAAATTTCCACATCACTTTTACATTTTATCATTTAATGACACAGTATTAAAATTTTATAGTTTGTATTACAAGTTTACAATATGATTATGATAAAACTTTTTTTAATATAATTTGTGAAATCTTGATTACAATTATATTTCAAGAGAGTGATTTAATCGTAGCCCAATGCCGTTTTCCGAAAAGATTATTATGATGACTTTATTAAGGGTAACATTTACCTTTGATTAAATTATAACATGGTAAACAGAAGCCACTTTTACCGCCACCGGACGTGTTGTTAATGTTGTGTGCTATTGACTCCTAGTTTCCTGCTTTTGTATTTATTGATCGATTAAAAATTGTGTTCCTCGCAATTAATAACACATTCGGGCTTAGACGCATTGTTTACCCCTAAAGGTGGCTGAAAGTAAGTTCGTTTCGTTCAAAATTAGGGTAAACTTTCGTTATGTACTTACCGAGCGAGTTCGCTCCGCTTGAAAAGGCGATATTGAAACCTCAGACAGCTACAATTTTCTTTTGTTGAACGGAACTGCGTAAATTTTCATCTCGGAATGTTTTCGAAAGCAGATATTAGAGTCGTATTTCTCTCTTTATAGTCAATCTGTACGCGTTTAAGAAAATTAATGAACGCGATATCGCCATAGCTTTCCTGAAAGTTAATTAAGTGCGGAACCGGTATTTTGTTACTTTGATGGGGCCCAGAAGTCGTCTCGTTTTCATCTCGTTTTAAACTCCTATAAACAATTTCAACATTTCTTGGAATTAAACCGCATTCGTGTGAAATAAATCCTTCTTCTTCGGCGGCGATGTACTTATGTATACACGGAGGCCTGCAGCTAATTATTATAGCTAATCCTTTGTGATTTCCCGCCACAGATATACTCAAATTCCTAAATTGAATCAGTATAAATCTATTATGGCGTAAATTAATCTATGATTTTCCATTCAATAACTTTAATAAAACCATAATCATACGTTGAAATGTTGAAGGACTGTATGTTAAGGAAACGTACCCACACTACGCGAGTCATTTTTTTACAATTTTCCCCCATCAGTTACCACCCATAGTATATACCTAGATCCTCCCTCCTCCTTCTAGTTTTCTCGTAATAATTCATAAATATGGTTCTAAATCATATTTTGCAAACAGAAAGTTTTGAACATAAAGCTTTGAAAAACGTGAAATTTCCTCAGAGGATATTGACTATGAGATGCAAACCTAAGTCCCCTGCCCCTGTGACCAGACGTAGTATTTTTAAGATCCTCCCTAATTTCGGGTCACGTGGTATCTATACTTTATATATAGAAATTGTGGTTTCTGGGTGTGGTAGATCCTGATCCTGGTTTGATCGGTGCCTACTGGTCCGAAAAATATCAATTCTTTTAAATATTAACTTAACATTACATTCAAAATGTGTTTAATTTAATTCTTAACATTTCACTCTCAGTTCCTGTTACCGTGTCATAAGTTCAATGTTTGTCTTAAATGACAGGTAGAATTTTCCGTAAGCTTTTTTTACTCCTGCATTAATTGCGTCAAATGAAATGTAGCAACGCTTTGGAAAAAAGTACAAAATAGCTTCATGAGGTTGAAATTTTAACGTACTTCGTAATTATATTTTAGACGATCGGTTTCTTCTAAAGTTTGCTTAACCTGCTTAATTATTCTAAAGGGGAACGACAGGTGTTTTGTGTTGACAAATTTGTGGATTTCGATAATTACTAACGGCTATTTATAACGTCTTCTTTCAGAAACATAATGTGTAACAACTACATTCGGTTAAGTAATTCATGTAAATATTTACATTTTTAATATCTACCTATTAAAAGGAAGCAGTATATTTTTGTTTATATTTATAACATGCTTATAATGTGCTGTTTATTAATTAAATCTATCTTTAACAAAATCATAAAAACCCAAAAAATTAATTGTTCAGTTATTATTTGAACAGAATTACGCAATAACGCTTTGATGTTATTTCTATAATGAAGTGAGATAATTTGTAACAATTGGATAGGGACAACGAAATTTAATAAATCGACGAAAGTACAACTAAAGAGAGTGGAATGAACAGAGGTAGATTTTTCTGAATCGTTTTAACGAAAACCTGTTACTATTTTTAGAAAGAATTTTTCTTTTTCCTAATGGTCGTTATCCAAAACACAATCTAAGTAAAAAAGGATGCTGAAAAAGGAGTTTTTGTATTGAAAAATGATCTAAATTTTTGTCTTTCTAAAGGACAGCAAGCCAGTCTAGATAAATCCTTGTATAAGGTCTTTTATAAAAAAAAAATATATACATCACGTTCGTTCCTGTATCCCACTGTCACTTCATTTTCTTTTGCAGGGTTTTACTCTTAATGCAATGTTTACGTTCTGCAACTCACAAAAAGTACTCCAAAGGTATTAAATCCATAAAAACCTTCTAAATGAAAAGGGAAACATGTTTTACTTTTTAAATTATTTATATTCGTTAGGGTTCA